ACTTTGATGCCCCCTGAGCTTGGCAGTTCCCTCTGAGGCTGAGGAACGGGGTCCAGGCTACTCCGGGAAGAGAAGCAGGACCGGGAGGTGTCGGAAGGCACGGTGGCCAGTAGGACAAGCAGCTTCTGAGACAGGACTCTGCGAGGGTCCTTTGTGACCTGGTGTGGGTGCAAGAAGCCTGACCTCTGGTTCAGAGCTCAACCAGGGAAACAGAACCAGGAGGAGAAACACAGGAAGAGATTTTCTGCAAGGAGCTGGCTTACATGATTGAGGAGCAGGTTGGGCAGACCTGAAGTCTGTGGGCTGGGCTGGCAAGAAGGGCAGTCTTGCAGTCAGACACAGGGTACAGCTGCTGTCCATGGGCCAAATGTTTTTGTCTTCCTCAAGAAGGACTCAGCTCTGTTTTTAAGGCCTTGCAACTGATTGGGTAAGGCCCACCTATATTATCTGAGATAATCCTCTTGCTTTAAATCATCTAACTAAGGACTTCAGTCACATCTACAAAATACCTTGACAGCAACACCTGGATTACTTTTGATAGACTACTTGGGACTGTAACCTAGCAACATTGACACTGGCACCCTCTTTTGAGGAAAGACTCTCAAGTCTCTGGCCAGCTGATGACCCCCAGGCTCTGATGCCTCACTTCCGTCAGGTCTGGGTCTTCCTCCTTCCTCACCTGAAGTGACTGGTCTGGGCAGCACTACTTTCTTTTCCTCCAGGACAATTATAAGAACTGAAAGCCCCTAAAAGATCTTGTATCGCAACACCACCTTTCCAACAGAGCTCACAGCGGGGCCTCAGGGCTGCTCCTGCACCCTGTGTGCTCAGACAACCGTGGTCATGCTCCCTTTTTTAACAGGCCACATGCCTCAATTAAGTCTTAATTACATGCTATTTAATTCTCATAACCTTTAGCAATTTCTCTGTTTATCAACAAAGTATATCAAGCTTATAAGAACAGCTTTTAAGCCTTCCGCATTGAGGCATTGGGGAAATGTAATTTTAACAAAGGGGATTTTGTGGTAGTTTTCTTGGATTCACGTAGTTCTGTTTTTCAGTTCATGGATTATTTCTCATTTTACGAGAACCTCTGTGAAATAAAATATAATGAGAAGAAAGTGTAGACTGTCATCGTAGGCCATTTCTCTTTCTCAGTCTCTTTAAAACAAACCTCAGCTCTACCCTGAAATTCACCAGGTCGGGGGAATAATAAAGAGGTCAAATGAGACCAAGGAATGATTTGGCCATGATTATATTATTATATATGGTAATGATGCATAGTATTGTTACTTATAAAAACTAACATGTAGCATTTACTGTATTCAGGTCCTCTATACTTCTTTGATGCTCACAACAGCCCATTTTACAGATGACAAAACTGAGGCACAGTACTCATAGATGGCTGAACCAAGGTCACAAGTTCATAAGAGCTAGAGACAGGATTTGAACCCCGACTGTCTGGCTCTAGCCTCCAGGCTCTTAACCCTCCATGAAAGCACTGCACACTACACTAGACACGAGATATTTTCATGTTTGAATCTATGATGCATCACATAACAGGATAGTTTTTGTGACCTTTAATTGTTTTACATCATGAAGGCGGGGTTGCTGCCATAAGTGAAAATCTACTAAGATGACTTGAAGTCGGCCCCATTGGCAAAGAAAGTAGCTCTAAGAAGTGTTATGACACCGCCTGTAGCCCGGGCCTCCCATGGATGCTGCTGACCAGCTGGCAGTTCAGAGCCACGCACACGTGCCTGTGGTGACCTGTTATTCTACACATCCCTGGTCCTGAGCAGAGGGCTGGGTTGGGGACAGGCTTCCCTGCCTTTCAAGACCAAGGCCAGCGGCCTGACCAGGAGTCTGTAAGCATCTCGGAAGTGTTGAAGCATTGCAGCAACTGCTCCGGTGTGCAGAGCTGGGGCAGGCCCTTTGTGGGCCGAGAGGGTCACCTGCAACCTCCACCCTCCTGCCACATGCCGGCACCTAGGCTTTGAGCATTCTGGTGGATTTCTCCCTTGCTTCCACTTAGAAAACCTGATTTTTCGCCCAGCCGGTGTGGCTCAGTGGTTGAGCATCGACCTATGCACCAAGAGGTCACCAGTTCGATTCCCGGTCAGGGCATATGCCCAGGTTGTGGGCCTGATCCCTAGTAGGGGCATGCAGGAGGCGGCCAATTGCTGTTCTCTCTCATTGATGGTTCTCTCTCTCTCTCTCTCTCTCTCTCTCTCTCTCTCTCTCTCTGTCTCTCTCTCTCTCTCCCCCCCTTCCTCTCTAAAATCAATAAAGGGGGGAAAAATTTAAAGAAAAGAAAACCTGATTTCTCATCATCCAGAAGGAACGTGTGATTAATGGCAAGCTTCAAGCACCTGCGATTCTTTGAGACTTGCTTAAAAAAACACACATCTCTATAGCCACCTTTAGAAAGAAAGTAGTTGATTTCAAGCAGTTTGGAAAGAATTTCTGGTGAGTCAGGGCAAAAGTCATTATCTGCAAGTGTCATAGCTGTGTCCTCACATTGGATCACTGTGTTTTTCCATTGCCCCTGCAGGAATGCTGACATGCCACATAGCTGCTGGAGTGCTCTGCTCTTTCTACCTGAGAAAACACAGTAAACTCTGCTAGGATTCCCAGCAAAACCAAAAGGAATGGAGAGGTTGGGAAGTGATTTTACTTAGTCAGCTCTCAGAGGTGTGTGTCAGGGAGTAAAGAACATTGTTCCTGTTGTGGGTGATGCTTTTGGTTTGGGGAAAATATAGTTAGCCAGTGCTTCTCAGTGAGGCACCTGGGGACCTTGTTAACATGCAGCTACTAATTCTCTGGTCTAGGCAGGGCCTGAGCTCACAGCTCTCACAAGCTCCCAGGTGATGCTGATGCCTCAGGTCCAAGTAGCAGAGTTAGAGGATTGCTCAGACCACTTATGGGAGAGGAATGAGAGAAGCCCACAGAGGAAAAACTCTGACCATGAACTCGTATGTATAGTAACGCCCATATATGTGCCGGTCATGGCATCTGATTTGCAACAAGGGGAGAGTGAGAAGTCAAACTGGAATCATTGGCCCACACGAGGCAACTTTCCTGTGTCATCCACCAACCTAGCCCCCAGTTGGGAAAGTTGCCTCGTGACCCTTGTGTGGCAGTATGTAGTGTGGATTAGTGTGTGGGATTAGACGTCCCAAAGCAGGTCTGTGGGACGGAATTGGAGTTGCAGATATTTTCATACTCTGGTATCACAAAACTAAAGGGAAAGGTGTGCCTGTTATACCAGCTTCACGTACCGTTGACATGAAGCCATAATGCTACTTTGACATTATCTCTGACTTTGTTTAAAGGTCACCTGAGTGGCCAAGTGCTAACTTCCTCATTTGATACTGGCCTGTGCCGAGCTGCAGCCTGAACTTACCCTGCCTAATGCCGATTAGGGGTTTCCATAGTACATCTACTGCTTGGGCTTAGTAAACGAAAGCTAGAACCTGCAACTGGTAGTCTTTTCTAAAGAAAAAAAAAAATCTGATCTCTTTATTATGTTTAAGAGCAGAAATGCCTGAGCCCTGCTAAGAAGTAATCTTTGAAGTGAACCTGGCTTGTGCGTGGAAAAAAACAACATCACAGCCAAAGGCCAGGAGAGGGCTGTTTAATCCTGTTTTGTTAATTAAATAGAAAAACAATTCTCTATAAGCTGTTCTCAGGAGGTCAGGTTTCTCTCTGTTTGTGGAGAGCGGGCACAGAAATTCTGATCACTTTATTATTTTATCCTGCACATGAGCTGATGTAGATATTGGTTGGCATGGTGCCCTGTCCTTGTTGAGCCTGATTTTGTTCTTGTGGCCAAGTGTAGTTTTTCTGTTCTTCCCTGTAATCTGCTCCCTTCACTGCCCTGCGACCCCTGCATCCACGCTGGTCTCTGGACGATGGGAAGGCAGGCCGTGGGCTGCAACGACTCACCTGCAGACAGCGTCCAGATACGGAGGCATGAAAAGTATTTTCTCCTGAGAGTCTTCTTTTAAAAAAAGATTCATTTTAACTATACTTAAAAAAAAAATGCAAGCAAGCTTTAGGGAATGCTGCATATTGTAGAAGAAGAATAGCAAACAAACGTGAGTGCTCTGTGGGGAGACATCGGCACTGCCTTCTGCAGTGTGGAGGACCTGCCGTTAGAGGAACGTGTAGGTGAGCTCTGCTGGTGGTCAGACGGTGCTGCATGGATCGTGTGTGACCATCTGTTTTACTCAAGGTCAAAGTAAGAGCATAGTTCTTGCAAGCAGAAGGGACCATGATGTCCTTCAGTAGACTTTTAGTGGAAGGCAGGTGCTGGTGCTGCCTTGAAACTGTGAAGATCAATCAGACGCACCCCTGCCAAGGTGTCTACCTAACAGGGCCAGAGAAAGGGATGCACCGCACTCCCAAGTCACAGGGGCAGGAGAATTCCAGTGGGGAGGGGGCACTTCCAGTGAGATCATCACAACAAGATCAGAGTCTGCTTTACTGTTCCGTTTTGTCTGCTCAAAAGGAGGGATGGTGTAGGTGGGTGGGAGTGAGCAGACAGACGCTCCCAGGGCCCTGAGCAGGGTCTCCCAGCACAGCATCCTGGATGGAAGGAGTGACAACAGCCGGGCATGAGGGAGTCTCCTCTGCAAGAAGCTCAGTGACACCCAGACAGCAGAAGTGGGAATAACGTGTGATGCACAGCCCCCATGCAGTGTTTGCCAGTTTCTGGAGTAGGCAACTGAGAGTTACAACATTCTTTTCCACTAACTTGCTCTGTGACATTGAGCAACGGTCTCACTCCCTTCCCAGTCTAGTCCTCAGCTCACCCAGCTGTGAAAACGAGGATCTGAACATCGACATACCACGTGGGGCTCTTGTGGCAACCAGCAAATAAAACCAATGTTACAGTTCTTGGTTGGTTGAGAAGTGCACTGGCCCTGGTGCACCCGTGGCTCCCCCAGGCCAGGGTGCAGGTCGCTCATGTCTCTCTTGTCCCTTCTGTGTTCCAGGAATAGAGCTGTGCCCCCCTGGAAAACGGTTCATGATCACAATGGTGGCGAGCTTCGTGGCCATGGCGGGGCAGTTCCTCATGCCCGGGCTGGCCGCCCTGTGCCGGGACTGGCAGGTCCTGCAGGCCCTCATCATCTGCCCCTTCCTGCTCATGCTGCTCTATTGGTCGTGAGTATCCTCCCCAAAGGCTAGGCCACCTGAAGGCCGCGTGCTCCCGCCCCGGGAGGAGACTGATGAAGCATATGGCTCGGACCCCACTGTCCCCAAACTTTCCCTAATTTCAGCTTGTGTTTTGTGAGGGAATATTCCTCTCTCTCTCTCTTTTTTTTATTTCATTTTTTAAATGTCTTATCTTGGGAAATGTTAAACTTACACAAAGTATATAGAAGAGTGAAATGAGCCCCCAGGTGCCCTTCATCGGCTCCGACAATGTCCCGTCCATCATTCTGGTTGCACACCTGCTTGCTGGGTTATTTTGATGTGATTTTTATGAATTTGCAAAGCAGGGATCCTTGTGTTGGGAGGGGAAATAGGGAGGTGTTCAAAGAGTGACTCAGAAAAGCCGCCTCGTCTCCTCTGGACTAGGGACGGGCAAACACCGGCCCCTGGGCCGGCCACACCCGCAGCCGCAGCACAGGCTGTGCGGTCTACAGAGCCGAAAGTATCTGTCATGTGCTCCTGTGTAGGAAAAGATTGACACCCTGCTCTAGACAAGTTCAGTAGAAATTTTAGGGTCATGTGTAGCTCTTAAGTTTCTCAGTTTCGGGCTTACTGACTTGATGAAAAAAGAAAGAGCTAAGCACACTGCTCTGGGGGTATGACCTGGGCAACTAGATTTTTAAAACCTCCCGGTGGATTAATGTGCAGCCAAGGTTGAAAACCACCACTCTTAGAGAGATGTTTAGGGGAAAAAATGAGTATTCTACCCTTTTTATAAATAACTCTTCTTTTTCTTCCCCTTCCATTACTTCCCCACAAGTACAAGGTACTGTCGTGTGGATTATAATACTGTACTGTATTTCTACCCCTTCTTCACTAATGGCAACCAGATGTCTGGCAAGAAGTCCGTTGTGTCTTAGCTTTGTTCACGCAGCAGAGAGGCAGCACTGGGGCCTCCTTTCGAAGGTGCCAGGGAGGGGAAGAAAGTGCCTGCCTTTTGACTTCGTTGGGCTGGGCCACACCCAGGTGCTCACTCCCCCAGCCCAGAAAAAAAGGTGGCGAGGGTGCAGGCGCCTTATCCTTTCTAGCCCGGCCCTGCTCACTGTGCCCTGCGGGCCTCAGCAGCGGCCAGCAGCCTGCCTCAGGGGCCACTGCGCTCCCCTCGCCGCCCTCTGCCGGCTCCTCGGCCTGCAGCCAGACATCTGCCCTCCAGCAGCCACGCGGGCTTCCTGTCGCCCTGCTCCCTCCAGCGGGGTCTTGAGAGGCAAAGGGTGGCTCAGTTGGCTGGAGCGGCCCCCCATGCACCGAAGGGTTGATGGTTGGATTCCTAGTCAGGCTCGTGCCAGGGTTGCTCCATCCCCAGTAGGGTGCGTGCAGGAGGCAGCCGATCTATGTTTTTCTCTCTCTCTCCCTCTCCCTTCCTCTCTCTCCAAAAATCAATGCAAAAGATTGTTTTTAAAGAGAAAAAAGAATGAAATGGTTTCCCCAGAGCAGGACAGAGTGGACAGCCCTTCCTTTGATCAGTCAGAGGAAGCCCTTCCTGTTCTCTCCCTCGCCACATCTGGAGCTGGGCTGTGCTTGTTTGGGAATTTGGGGCATTTATTTACTTAACTAATGTCTATATAGTGTTTTCTCCACGCCAGACACAAAATGCTAGCACTAGACAAAGAGTAGATCGTTCAGTCTTCCTATTCACTGCCCCACTGAACAGATGGCAAAACTGAGGCTGCCCAGCTAGCCCTTAAACCCAGCACATCATGCCATCTCCTGCCTTCCCTCAGCTGCCATCCCTTGTCCCTGGCCACCAGGAAGAATTGTCCCAGGAGAGGAGCCCCGTTGCCCCAGAGGACTTGGGTGGTCGTCATCCCCCCACCTACCTCCTCTCACGTCCTGACCACCACTGCACCCGGCACGAGTGCTGTCTGCTGGCCCCGAGGGGTGGGGGCCGGGGTGGGCATGGCCTCTCGGAGACTCACACTGCTGTAAGGGCCCACAGGGTTGTCTCCATTGCCTTCCGGCTCTGCCCCCACCTGTCCCAGGTAGGAGGACTCCTGATGGGGAGAATGGCAGAGAAGGGATTCCTGCAGCAGGTCTGGGGTCCTGGCCCACGTGGGAAAGGGCTGGGGGTTTCATTTTTTTTTTTTTTTTTCATTTAAATTTAAAATACATCAGGGTTTAATGACAGCCAAGGTAAAATGTTCATTTATTTAAATACATTATAAAACCTAAGAAAAAGTCTTTGAAACACACTATTATAAAAACAAAACTGTACCATGGAAAGGGTGTCCAGGGCACTCTGGTGAGTCCGGACGGATGGGTGGACATCCCGGTGCACTGACACCATGTAGTTACCGCCCTGGAGCCGAGTCCGGGGCAGACCTGCTCTGCTCGCACGTCTTAACTGCCGCCATCATAATCGGCATCACTTTGATTTATGTTATTATTTAAGGTGTTTGGCACATGTCTGGCCTACAGCAGGTGCTCACTAATATTAGCTACTGTTGTTACTGTGATTGCATCACCTCTTAACATGGATGGCAACCTGGGTGTACTGGGGCAGGTAAAAGAAATCAGTGGTGAGAGACAAACTCCACTTTGCCTACCGTTCTTGAAAGGCTCCATAACATCATTGGCTTTTAAAGGCCACTGTGGTGTCTCCCCTTTTTTATCGACTTCTAATTCCCACTCTCCTCCCATCTGCTGCTGTAGAAGCTCATGGCTCCTGAAGGCTCTGTGGTTTGACAGGATGAAGTGGGCTGTTGGGGGGAGGCAGTGAGCTGCAGCACCAGCATGCAGGACCAGCTGTTGGTGACAAAATATTGAAAGTCACTTGCTTTCCTTTAATAAGCAAGTATTTATTTTGTGTACCCAGGGTGCCCAGCAGTGTACTTGGTACTTTGTGGTACCTCCAAGAGCAGTGCATTCACAAGGATCATAATCCAACCTATATGATGTAAGGTCACTGAGTCGCAGCATCTTGGGTTAGAAGCAGTAACGACAAAGAGTTGAGAGGGGCCTGAGGTATTTCTGGTCCCAGTGGTGGGGTAAACTGACAGGGATCCTCCAAACACACACAGATGCCAGATACGATACTGCATTAGGCAAACATATACACAGTGCTGAGCTCCAGTTCCAGAAAGGGGAATTCCTAGGACCAGCCCAAGGAGAGCATTCAAGCAGGGGTGGACACAGGTAGCCAGCAGGGCATCTGAACCAGAAAAAGGAGCTTGGGTTTTAAGACCTGCACACAGGGCTGGAGCTGAGATCTCAGGCCCAGTATGCACTTAGAAATGGGCCCCTTAAATGCAGCCAGGAGTCAGAACTGGCAGTGATAACAGGACTAGAAAATCTTTCCCCACCGCAGAGACTCAACTTCCAAGCTGGCTGATTACCTCGGACTGAGGGCAGAAAAGGTCCATCCTTCAGACACTGGAGCCTTGAAGTCTGCACCACACATTGCTGTGGTCTAAATTCCAACCCCTCCTTAAGGCTGAGACATCAGCATAAGAACCAGTGAGTTTCTTGGACCCTTAAGGTCAAAAATTAAACCTCCTGGGGAGAATCACCGAGGCCAGGCACTCAAGACTCACGTGGAAGAAAATTGTCACCAAGGATGAACTCCCCGGCAAAATTCACAGAGCCCATGAATATCCATCATGAGGGCCAAAAACTATGAACTTGGGAGTTTGCATCCCAGGAACTCTAGAAAATAGAGCAATCTGAGAGACAAGTTAATTCAGCTAATTTACTAAGTAGTTACAAGTAAGTATTCTAGATAATGCACATGCATTCGAGCAGGCTCCCCTCCCTTGAAATCTGCCTTTCAGGGGGGCTGAGGGGCGGGGGAGCCCAGTGACCATGAGGCTGTGAGCAAGCAGAGCATGCTCTCGAGTAGCCGGACGTGAGGAACGAAAGGCAGCAGTGGGACAGAAAGGCACGGGGCGGCCAGGAAAGGCCACTCTGAAGAGGTGACATTCCAGCTGAGGCCTAAATGATCAGAAAGAGGAAGTCACAGAGTTCTGGGCGGAAAAGTGTTCCAGGAAAGTGGGAGCAGCCAGGGCAAACGCTGGTTTCCACTTGGCTTTTTCTGGAGGAGGAAGCAGAAGGCCAGTGTGGCTGGAACATGAGGGGAAAGGTGGGGGCAAAAGATAAGCTCAGACACAGGTGGGTCAGACCACATGGGGCCTGCAGCCCACCAGGTTTATTCTAAAAACAGGAAGACACATGGGGGTTTACACAGGGCAGGGGTAGCTCTGGCACGTGCTGAGATCTCACCGTCTGCTGTGTGGCAGTGGTCATGGGACGGGTGAGAGTGGGGGCAGAGGGTGCCTGGCTGCCACAGTGGCTGATCTGGGAGAGGCGGTGTGGTGCCTGTACTTGGGGTGGGCAGAGTGGTCACTAGAAGTGGCTTCGTGAAGGCTTGCCTGGGAGCATGCTGTAGCGCGTGGTGCTAAGAAACAGCAGTAACTCGGGTTTTAACAGTCTGCTGAGATGGGGGCCTGAGCCCCCTGAAACATGGAGGCCCATCTGAGAAATGGAGCGTGAAGTCCTGTCCTGAGAGTAGAGCTGGAAGGATGACAGAAAGGAAATTGCTGGCTAAGGGAGAGCTTGAAAAGGGAGGGTTTTGATCTTGGGGACAATGGGAACCACTGGAAGGAGCTCAGAGGCTTGATTGAAACCACAACCTGTTTTACATTATAGGGTTTGTTAGTGTCCAGGTGTGGTGAGGCCCGCAGAGCAGGACACAGCCACTGAGAAGATAGTGCGTTACTCAGTTCCCAAGAGGGCAGCACGCCACATCGCGGGGCCACACAGCAGGCCCCAGGGTCAGTCGGGAGGCAGAGGGAAGGAGGGAAGTGTGGACGAGAGCCTTTGCTGTGGCTTCCTCAGGAAGGAGCAGGTGAGGCAGGGGGAGCAGGCCTATACCGTCTGGTTGGAATAATTTCAGTGGACTCTGGGCACATGGGCTGTCCCCTAGTTGTCTGGTCCCTGGCCCTGGGCGATTGGGA